TATTTTCATTTAAATTCAATTTATTCAAGTAAAATAATAAGAAAAAACAGTCATTATACTGATTTGAGGGTAAAAAAAGAAGAGCTTAATTGTTTTAAATGTGAACTTGTAGTGCTAATATAATATTAAAGAAATAAAAGGCATCTTATGCGCGCGCACTTTGCATGCTCGAATTAAAAGTTTAACTTTAATCATTGTTTAATAATGCTTTAAAGACACACTGATTTTGACGTGCCAACTAAGCACATGGACTTGATTATACTTTTGTTTTAAATGTACTAAATTGCAACTTCGCCATTTCAAATGTGTAATTGCAAATATATTTAAATACATGACATACAAGTTTCAACAGAAATGACATTAAAGTATGTTTTAGTTTAACATAATTATGAAATTACTGTATTTAAGTGAGTCAAAAAGCACTCTAAAGTTCAACTAATTGCATTTAATACACATTTAAACTATAACACCTTTTCATTTAATTGTAAAATACGCAATTGAGCGTCTGAAAACATATTTAGTTTGCACTTTTTAAGTTTTAAAGTAGCCTTATATTACATAATAATTACTGTTTGTTTTTCACAAGTATATAATATAACAAGTAATCAAGAGTCAGATGTGGATGAAGGTTATTATATAATAATTTTCATTAAAATTATTCAAATTTAAACTGCTGATTCATTTTAATTTCTCCATGAATCTGCACTGGTTTTGCTATAGCTTTGTTTTTGTGTGTAGACAATGCAAAATAACCTGGTTTTGGGTTCTATTTAACCGTGTCTGGCCATTTTAACTCTTCACAATGACTGCAAGTTCACACCTCGGGTAAAATATGATTGTTTTTGGCATGTTTCCGAGAGATTAAGCAGCGCAGGAAACTCTCCGAGGCCTCAGACGTCAAATATTATAGTGTGCACGAATGAAAAGGCACTGGAACAGAGGAAGAGAAAAGTATAGGGCATAAATTAAAGAAGAAAATTGGATGCATTTCTATTCCTCAGTTCATGGAAAGCACCAAAAACAAACGGTGAGCCGACACAGAGCGCGTTTGGCAGGAAACCCCATCACAACAACACTAAATATTATTGCATGCAAATGGATACTGATCTCTTTTTTTTTTGGCACAATGCACAGATAAACGGATTTGTTTTAAAAACACAGTCTGATCTGGAGCCTGTATTTTGTAACATTTGCATGTGTAATATTTTCTTAGAGAGATTGTCAAGCTGAGATATGACGTCTGAGAGACTGAAGCCGATTGATTCGGTTTTGTTATCATGCTGACGACATCAAATACCAGACGGCTCATGGGATCCTTTATGAAACGCCACAATCCTTTAGAGTCTGCTCTTATGTAACGGCAGACCATTGGCCTGGTCAAAAGGTCAAAGGTTGACTGGTTTACATCTCAAACGTTTGACCCCTGAGGTTGCACTTCAATAAAATGTCAATGTCTACTTCTGATAACACTTATTTTTGATGTCATTCTGCTGACTTTAAGCAACTTTGCATCTACAGTCAAACCAAAAATTATTCAGACACCAGATATCATTTTTTATTTTTGTTTACTAGTGTGTGCAGGACACTATAGTTCATTTATGTAAGGAGGAGAGCAAAATAAAGCAAACTATGACATATTATACCCAAAAATTCTTTATACAGTGTAAAATTTATACAAATTTGGGAGCAAAAATGATTCGGACACTTTGAGCTGATCAAAGTGTGTTTTCTGTAATTGCTAATGCTCTTTTTACACACACACTGAACAACATGAAGCATTGCTTGGTCACTGGTTGAGCTAAACTGGTATTATCTAATTGTGGAGTTAAATTTAACAGCTGACAGATATTCAACATAATTCATGTGTGAGTTCAACAGAAGGACGGACACAACCAGTCAAATATCAACTGAGTTCTGCTCATATTTTATTACCATTTTCTAAACTATAGTGAATAAACTGCGATAATGTGAGAAATGTTGAAGGTGTCTGAATACATTTTTGGTTTGACTGTAGTTGCAAAGTTACTTATAGTCAGCAGAGTGACATCAAAATGAAGTGTTATCAGATATTAAGTAGACACTAATGACTTCATGTATTTACAAAGTTATGGGTTGTTTGAATGTTGTAAATTTAAAAAGTAATGTTACTTTAGTAGGTAATCTGATTATGTAACTTGCGTTACTTGTAATGCATTACTCACAACCCTGGTTAAAGGGATCGTTCACACAAAAATGAACATTTGCTGTTAATAACTCTCCCTCGGGCCGTCGAGATGTAGATGTCTTTCTTTTTCTTCAGTAGAACAGAAAAGAAGAGTTTTAGCTGAAATATATAAGCATATAATGCAAGTCGACGGCTTGAATAAAAAAAACATATTAAATGAATACTCGTGGCTCCTGACGACACATTGAGGTCTTATGAAGTGAACGATCGGTGCGAGAAACTGAACATTATTAATAACATTATTACCTGTAATCCACAGCCTTTCTGTTGCATAACTCAGTCAGTCAGTCAAAGGTTTAAGAATCTGAAATGCGTGACCCAGATCTATAAAAACAATGTAAGTGAGTTTCCTTTGCTTATGTTTATGCTTATTCTAAGAACACATTTATAAACATTTACACAGAAATTCGTTCTGCCTGTGTTGCAAGAATTGTTTATACAGCTTTTTGGCAGCGAAATGATGTAATTAAAGCTCAGTTTATTTTTGATGCTGCCTATACAGATATTACTGACTGCAAAGTTATGATGTTTTCCCATGTACTGACTGACAGCTCCGATTACTGTAGATTTAAGCTAAACGTGAACATGCATTTACTCATATCACTTGCACAAAAGCAGATTCAGTATTCCTCAAAATTAATAAAAACAGTGAAATGCATTTCTTTTAATACATATGTTAAATAACACAAATATACTTGCCCCCGGGATAATCAAAGTGAGATATTTCAAGCCTTTATTTGTTATAATGTTGATGATTATATAGCTTATGAAAACCCCAAATTCAAAATCAGAATATTGTAAAAAGGTTTTCATAAGCTGTAAACTAATCATCAAAATTATAACAAATAAAGGCTTGAGATATCATACTTAATGAGTCTATATAATATATTAGTTTCACCTTTTAAGTTGAATTACTGAAATAAAAGAACTTTTGCACGATATTCTAATTTTTCGAATTTCACCTGTAAATAAACGTAATGCTTAATTAAAAAATGACCTCGATCAAGCATGAAGTTTATTTACTTAATAATTTTAAGACAACGGATTTCCTAAATTTTAAGTTTAAGTCAACTGATCCCTTTTTACAGTGGCTCTCCCTGAATTAAAACTATATTTCATAATAAATTAATTATGGCTTATGAAAACCTTTTCACAATATTCTAATTTTGAATTTGGGGTTTTCATAAGCTATATAATCATCAACATTATAACAAATAAAGGCTTGAAATATCTCACTTTGCATGTAATGAGTCTATATAATATATTAGTTTCACCTTTTAAGTTGAATTACTGAAATAAATGAACTTTTGCACGGTATTCTAATTTTTCGAGTTTCGCCTGTACATCTTAAAACATGTCAGTGTCATTGTTTTGTCTCCAGATGCACATCAGTGATGTTTTTAAAGCCACATTTATAAAAGCCACTTAAATGTCCTAATTGAACTAAGGCCTAATCCTGGCTTTATCTAAACCCTGTCTGTGAAACCCGGCCTTTATGTATTTAATCTCACTTTATCATTAGTTTGAGCTGCGGCCTCTACCGTACGGGCGTAGATATACCGTTCCTTCAGCATGAGGGTTATTCATTACGCTTTTGGTCTTTACATTTGCCAAAAATTCAACTTTTGTTTGCTTGTTATTAAAAAACAATCAAGCCCAGCCAATGTGAGAAAAAGTATCGCAAACTTAAAGTGACGCATTACTTACCATAAAAACTAACTAAGAAACACAATTAGTTACTTTTTTTAGGGAGTAACGAAATATTGTTACGCATTACTTTTAAAAAATAACTTTCTCCAACACAGATCTTAAAATATATTATAATTGAGTTATAATAAATTGTTAATCTGTTCTCAGTGTCCTGATGCATTCAATGCAACAATGTGTGGAAGAATTTGTGAGTTCAAAAGCTAATAATTAATTATATTGGATGTAAAATTAAAATAAATATTTGAGCGGTCTCAGAGCGTCTCGGTTTACAGTATATACAGTAAATCTCTGCTTTTGCTGCGAGTTTAACTTGAATTCGAGTTTGAACATTAAAAAGTTTCGAATTTAAGACATAAATATTAGTATTGCAACACCAGTGTGAATGTAACGTGGACTGAGGTCACTATCATAAATAAAAGACCACTTTAAAGTCCAGTGACAAAATCAATATAAAACACTTACGAATAAAAACATGAAATATATTTTATTTACTTTATTAGCTATTTACTTGCATGTCATGTGACCATTATCTGACATCAAAGAACTAAGAACATGAAAATATGTTGTTGAATTATTATATTTAAGTAATACTTCAATTACATATTTCACATTTAAGGGGTTTGGCTGACAAAAAGACGTTTGTGAATCCCTGATCAGTGCCATTAGAGTAAGAGGGAAAACGAGGAAGAGTGTGTAAATACTGAAAGATAAAACAGGAACATTTATTTTGCCTTTGGAAAGAAAAACTCGAAGTACATTCAATCTCGGAACATGAAACAAGTGGACCCTAAAACAGCGGATTTGAACCGTGCGTGTGCATTTGGAACAGATCGAGGAAATAAAAACATATTTTATGGTTATTATATGTGATGTCAATGAAGAGCAAACTGCAGATTACAATTGAAGATTGTCCTTGCATTCACGGTTTGTCTTCCGTGTAAAATTAAATGTTAACCATTGCAGTAGAAGTGTTGAAGATGTGTGTGCTGAGCATCCGTCCGTGATTCCCCATGCAAGAGCACGGATCGGGAGTCTGGTCATCTTTACACACACACTTCATCTTTACACACACACACTTCATCTTTACTTGTGCTTGCAGCGCTGGCTCCTCTGCCGATAGATCTCCTCAGTGAATGGTCTGCAAACATGACACACACACACACACACACACACACACACACACACACACACACACACACACACACACACACACACGCAGTAAATCTTAAGAAGTGCTATAGCGTACCAGCCTGTGCCTGACACCTTGTGTGAGTGTGTGAGTGTGTGTGTGTGTGACTGTGTGTGTAAGAGACGCTTTCCATAAGTAGGTCAGCTATAAGGCCTGCAACTCTTAGTCAATGATGACACAACTAATTGTCAGTGAAATGAGGTGATTGACCTTCAGAAAACATATGAGCAGTTTTATGGTCTATTCATTAGGCGATATATATATTTATTACATGGCTTGGTTGAATTATAATGTACTGTAGAATGCGGTCTGTTAATTATAACACACCGTTGCCATGGACACAGTTCTGTTCACTCTGGAGGATAAACTCCTTTAAATCAATAAACTCCTTTTTAAATCAATATTTTGTCAAATTATTGATTTATTTGGTGGGTAGCCATGTAATAAGCGGGATAATGTAGAGCTTCGCTATAACAAACACCTCGCTCTACATTATCCCTTACATATACATATATATATATATACACTCACCTAAAGGATTATTAGGAACACCATACTAATACTGTGTTTGACCCCCTTTCGCCTTCAGAACTGCCTTAATTCTACGTGGCATTGATTCAACAAGGTGCTGAAAGCATTCTTTAGAAATGTTGGCCCATATTGATAGGATAGCATCTTGCAGTTGATGGAGATTTGTGGGATGCACATCCAGGGCACGAAGCTCCCGTTCCACCACATCCCAAAGATGCTCTATTGGGTTGAGATCTGGTGACTGTGGAGGCCATTTTAGTACAGTGAACTCATTGTCATGTTCAAGAAACCAATTTGAAATGATTCAAGCTTTGTGACATGGTGCATTATCCTGCTGGAAGTAGCCATCAGAGGATGGGGACATGGTGGCCATAAAGGGATGGACATGGTCAGAAACAATGCTCAGGTAGGCCGTGGCATTAAAACAATGCCCAATTGGCACTAAGGGGCCTAAAGTGTGCCAAGAAAACATCCCTCACACCATTACACCACCACCACCAGCCTGCACAGTGGTAACAAGGCATGATGGTTCCATGTTCTCATTCTGTTTACGCCAAATTCTGACTCTACCATCTGAATGTCTCAACAGAAATCGAGACTCATCAGACCAGGCAACATTTTTCCAGTCTTCAACTGTTCAATTTTGGTGAGCTCTTGCAAATTGTAGCCTCTTTTTCCTATTTGTAGTGGAGATGAGTGGTACCCAGTGGGGTCTTCTGCTGTTGTAGCCCATCCGCCTCAAGGTTGTGCGTGTTGTGGCTTCACAAATGCTTTGCTGCATACCTCGGTTGTAACGAGTGGTTATTTCAGTCAAAGTTGCTCTTCTATCAGCTTGAATCAGTCGGCCCATTCTCCTCTGACCTCTAGCATCAACAAGGCATTTTCGCCCACAGGACTGCCGCATACTGGATGTTTTTCCCTTTTCACACCAATCTTTGTAAACCCTAGAAATGGTTGTGCGTGAAAATCCCAGTAACTGAGCAGATTGTGAAATACTCAGACCGGCCCGTCTGGCACCAACAACCATGCCACGCTCAAAATTGCTTAAATCACCTTTCTTTCCCATTCTGACATTCAGTTTGGAGTTCAGCAGATTGTCTTGACCAGGACCACACCCCTAAATGCATTGAAGCAACTGCCATGTGATTGGTTGATTAGATAATTGCATTAATGAGAAATTGAACAGGTGTTCCTAATAATCCTTTAGGTGAGTGTATATGTAAGTTCATTAACATGCGGTGACGATGGTGGACGCACAAAGTTTAATATTACGCTTTTTCAAGAAATCACAGAAAGACGAGCGAGGAGGAGGAAAGTCTCGTTCATCTTTACAGGACACGCATATTTCATAACTAAGACTTCCAGACACAATCGGAATTTTGGGTATAATATGTCACAAGCCGCGTTTCCATTACAGATTTGCGCAAAACTTTTGCGATTTTTTCTAAATATCGATAAAAAAGTATTGCGAAATGACGGCGCTTTCATTAACCGATGTTATGCGACTTTGGACGTTTGTAGGTTTATAGCACATGTGAATAGACGTGCAGCCACCGCACTAGACATTATTATTATTAATGGAAGGAGACGTGGTGTGTTATCCAAGCATTAATGGTAAGGAAAGAGCCTAATACTGTGAACGGCACATGAGGTGTTTCTGGGTGTTTCTCCCTCATTTCTGCTCCAAGGTCTTGATTGTGGCATTTCTTTGAGGTTTAGAATCCAGTATTCCTGCAATTCTTTTTTCTTTTATAAATTTAATAAAGAACTTTGTCTCGTATTCTGTCCAAACGGTCCGTGTACTTTTGCGTCCATTTATTTTTCCTTTTTTAACCCGTAGCCTAATTGAAAAACGAAAAATGAACGGTTGTTGTATTTTTAAAGCGCAAAGTTGAACAACAAATTTTGAATTTGAACGGTAGCCTACTACACACCAATGCTGCGCAAAAAAATAAATATAGACGAATTTTCAGATTTTTGTTTATGACTTTTTGCCCCTTTATTAAACATTTTGAATATTCACAAATTTAATTTGCAACAAATGTCGATTTTATTGGTTTTCTAAGGCCAAATTAGAACCCGATGATATTTTTCCCACAGTGCTGAATGAGAAAGAGCTGTGTCTCTGGAACCATAGCCTACAGAGAGGTGATTTATAGGTGATTATAGGCTAATGATAATAAATGTGTCTGAAAAAATAACGAGGCATTTTAATTGTTTATTAATAAACTAGAGTTAGTGCCGACTGCAAACATATTTTCATCTCCACTGTAAAGCGGATGCGCCTTTAGAGAGAAATGCACCTTTCATATGGATTACATAATCAGAAGGTATTTGCTTTCGATTTGAATTTGTTCGTTTAAAAGTGGACATTTCAAGCTTTAGCCTACATAGGCTATATTTTGTTTCGGTTCATTTCCGAGACATGTTCCAGTTCACGGAGATCATGAAAGCGCGCCTGATTGTTTTCTTTTATTTTGCAAAAGAAGAACGTTTTCTTGTTATTGTGAGTTTACACAAATAAAAGTAGTTGCGGCTTATGTATTATTATTTTCTCTATGACCATAAATGATAGAGTATTTTAAGTTGTTTCCACTGTTGACAGGAAAATGCAAGTGTTCGCGCCCGCGCCTCCGTCATGCAGTGCGCGCTCCACACTTCGCACAAACCCTTGGATATGCGTCAAAATCTTGTGTTTATTTGTGATAATCTTAGCCCTGTATTATTATTGCCTAACCTGTATTATGAATGACATTTGACGAATTGCTTTGTTCCTTTTTTGGATAAAAGCGTTTTCTAAATATGTAGCCTAATAAATGTAATAGGCTATAATAATAATAATTATTATTATTTGCGTTTATAACTATAAATGACTTCACTTAAGACAGTAATATGTTTATCATAAAATAATTGATTAATGTATTATTTTTATATAACCTTTTACAGTTTTGGAAAATGAGTTTGTGTTATATTTCTTTTTTTGTATGAGAAGTATTTTTTTGCTATTCTATTATAGCCTACTGAGCTTTTTTCTCCCCCCGCCCCAAAAAAAAGGACTTTAAAGATACAAGTACCGGGCTAAATGTCGTTTTTTTAGAAAATTCAAGAAATTACAAAGAACTGATATTTACAAATCTGAGAAAGCGGATTAGGATATCGTGGGTATAGGCCTACAGTTTATTAATCCGTGGGCACGATTTGTTAAACCGATCGAGGGAACAGTTTGTACTCAACCGTAAGTAGGCCTACGGTTTATAAACTTGAGGGGACGGATTGCAAAACCATCGCCACAGATTTTTTTTCATTTAGGCTATTTTATTTTTTCACAGACGCTCCATATTATCTAAATGTTCCGGGTCAAAATGAAATGCAGAAATCTAATTTCGCAAAGTTGTAGGCCTATGTCAATTAGGCCTATTTGATTTTCAATTAAATAAGCAATAGGCTATATAAGGAAAATAAGTTTGTATGTGAATATTTTCTCACCAGTCTAAAAACTAATAAAGAAGAAAGCATGTTTTTTGTTTTTCATACGAGTTAAAGGAAAAACGAATGGACGCAATAGCCTACACGGACCCCAAACACACGTGCCTTCTAAGTCAGGTGACTGCAATTGCGCAAAAACTGTTTCCATTGCAGTTTTGCGAAATATTCCTTTTTCGAATTGCCTGAAAAACCACCTCATGTGAGCGTAAAAACTTTTTTGCGATAAATGGGAGTTTTCGCGAAATTGACGTGTTTCCATTGAGCGTATTTTTAATTCGCAATTTCAATTTGCGCAATTTGAAGGGTAATGGAAACGCGGCTACAGTTAATTTATTTTGCTCTCCTCACTTACATAAATGAACTATAGTGTCCTGCACACACTAGTAAACGAATATCAAAAATTATATCTGGTGTCTGAATAATTTTTGGTTTGACTATATATATATATATATATGTGTGTGTGTGCGTGCGTGTGTGTGTATGTGTGCGTGTGTGTGTGTAGAACAGAACAGTCCAGTCTGTCACTGCGTGGTTTTTCTTCCCCGTTCTGGTGTAAAGTGATGTTGGCGCGCCGTGTTCAGTGGGAGACAGAGTCGTGTGTAACTGAGACGATCACCCCGGCTCTGTCCTCTTCGGTCGGCACGCTCAGGCCAGACTGATTGAAGCTGTTGTTGTTTTTGTGTCAGTGCTATTAAAGTTCAGTTCTCTCACGGCCACTGTTGCCATAGAGACTTTACAGTGCGAGTATATTCCCAAATTTATTCCTGTCGCTATGGAGAAAAGTTGGCAGGTTTTCTGCTTAACCTTTTATTGCCGAGTGTGCTGACCTTTACTTGCATCAATCTTAGAGCGTCTCAGACTCAGAACGGATGTTTTTTGTGTCTCAGAAGTAAGAAAGGAAACAAGACCTTGAATGTGTGTCAATAACATACATTTTATTCCACACCCACTACATGTTAATGTAATGTTGTACCGGTCGAAATTGTTCAAACAGCCACAAAACACTGCAGACTCTCCTCCGAATGAATGACCTATGCTTAAACATTATAGGGAACGCGCGATTTAAACGTCGTCGGCTGGAGAAAGTTTGGTTTGAAGATGAAAAACGTATAAGCACAATGTTCTCTCACCGTTCCTGATTTCTAACACACACACACACACCCTTCCCTCGAAGAAATCAGGACAGAAGTGGTTGAAAGTGGACGAAAGAGACGGATTTAAACGCGAATGTGAAACGTTTACTTCTGATCCGATCGACTAAAACACATCTTAATTGCAGCGGTATTTATTGGTTTTATAAACCGAAAGTATATTATGTTATGTGTACTGTAAAGCACTTTGGTTTAACTCGGGTTGTGCTGTATAATTAAAGGTTGAGCTTTAAGGTAAATCTGAGCATTTTATGACAGTAAATGGATTAAGAGTGAAAACTGAGGGAACGTTTACACGACAGTGATGTACTAAAAACGGAAAAGCTTTCCTGTGTTTTTAGCATATTGACAACGTTTTCAAAATGATCCCCATTCACACGGATCTGAAAACGCTGTGTATAGATGGCGACTTTGTAAAGAAACGCGACATGTCTATAGACCGAACACGTAACACACACGCGCATGACGTCACCGGTTTCACAAATTCGCATTTTTGTAGTTTACATGCAGACAATCATGGAATAGTTTTCAAAAACGTTCACATTTAGAACCAAAAATGTGTGTTTTCAGGCCCTCAAAATGCCGTTGTCGTGTAAATGAACACATAAAAAAAAAAGTTGACAGTTTTTAGTTGAAAATGTGATTCTGATAACACACTTACCCTTCACATGTAATAGCTACTCTGTAGGAGACGCCCACCACTGCGGTCAGGACCACCCCTATAGGACTGGCATTCCTAGTACACACATATAAGAGACAAACACACAACAAATTCACTTAAAGCACGACACGACAAGCTGAGCCAGAGATTCCTAACTGGTTTGGTCATGGGAACACATTTTCCCATGGTCATTAAAGCATTAGTTTACTTCAGAATTAAAATGTCCTGATAGTTTACTCTCCCCCACGTCATCCAAGATGTTCGTGTGCCTTTCTTTCTTCAGTGGAAAAGAAATTAAGGTTTTTGAGGAAAACATTCCAGGATTTCTCTCCATATGACTTTTATTTCTCTCCAGTGACTTCAATGGGGTCCAACGGGTCGAAGGTCCAGATGTGAGTTTCAGTGCAGCTTCAAAGTCTCGACACGATCCAGCCGAGGAATAAGAGTCTGATCTAGACAAACCAGCGGACATTTATAACAAAATACACATTTATATACTTTTAACCACAAATGCTCGTCTTGCACGTCCACGACTTCACGTAATCACGATGAAAGTTCACGCGTGTTCCGGTTCATAAATGTACAGTAGAGCGAAAAGCTCTCATCTCATTTTCTCCTCCAACTTCAAAATCGTACGACATCGTTGTTTTACACTATTATTTTTTAGTTTTGTAAATGGTGTTTGACTTTGTAAACACTGGGTCTGTTCTTCCACCTACGTCCCGCTTGACCTTTCAACGTGATTACGTGAAGTCGTGGACGTACAAGACGAGCACTAGTGGTTAAAAGTATATAAATGTGTATTTTGTTATAAATGTCCGCTGGTTTGTCTAGATGAGACTCTTATTCCTCGGCTGGGATCGTGTCGAGACTTTGAAGCTGCACTGAAACTCACATCTGGACCTTCGACCCGTTGGACCCCATTGAAGTCACTATATGGAGAAATCCTGGAATGTTTTCCTCAAAAACCTTCATTTATTTTCGACTGAAGAAAGAAAGACATGAACATCTTGGATGACGTGGGGGAGAGTAAACTATCAGGACATTTTAATTCTGAAGTGAATTAATGCTTTAAGTCACGACCCAAGTTTTTAGGTATTTGAACCAAGCAAATTTATTTCTCAAAAATGGTTTACAAACACACACTGTTACTAAACATACACATACAGTGTCAGAACTTCACTAACGCTGATGAATACACAGTATCACAAGCTAAGGCTATTAAATAACAGTCCCAAGCTAGTTTTTTCTTAATACAAATAAAGTTACTCATGGACTGAAATATTGTCCACCCTAAAATAATATAAAATATCATGTTTTACTGGCCTTGTGGGAACATTTGCTAAAGTATTATACTTTACACTGAATGTAATCAATATTATAAAAACGTTGACTGCCTGTTACTCAAGCGTATTTGTGTTGACCCGATTTCTACTATTGTTGAGCATAAATCCTGTCAAGTCCTGCTTATATTGTTGTACTTTTCTCCCTCCTTTCAGGAAAACACCCTTTGATATGAAAACATAATTGAAAACCATTTGTAGGTCAACGCAACAACTGCAGTGCTAATGCAATACAACCAGACAAAAGACAGAAAGGCCACAGCGTCACACATTTTTGGTGTCATAATAAGGAAGAAATACATTTTAGATGTAATTATCCATATAAGACCATAAGCAAAAGTCATAAACAAGCTGGAAAGGGTTTTAAAAATCACTAGTGTTCAAAAGTTTGGGTATTTCATAAATGTTTCTGAAAGAAGTCTCTTCTGCTCACCACGACTGCATTTATTTGATCAAACATACAGTAAAATTTTTAACATATTTTTGTCATTTTAAATAAATGTTTTCTATGTGAATATATAGTAAAGTGTAATTTATTCCTGTGATCAAAGCTGAATTTTCAGCATCATTACTCCAGTCTTCAGTGTCACATGATCCTTCAGAAATCACTCTAATATGATGATCTGATGCTCAAGAAACATTTATGATTATTATCAGTGTTTAAAACAGTTGTGCTGCTTCATATTTCTGTGGAAACTGTGATGCATTTCTTTTTTTAAGGATTCTTTGAACAAATTCAACAGTATTTATTGGAAACATAAATATGTTTAACATTATAAATGCTGTTATTGTCACAATTGATCACTTTAATGCATCCATGCTGAATTAAAGTATTCATTTCTTTCAAAAAAGAAAATGTGCAAATCAGATATTTAATCAACAGACATACTGTATACAAGAAACTAACTTTAGAATGAAATGAATTGTTTAAATCGTTTACAAAGGACTATTTCAGTAGTTTGGAAGATATATCCATATCCACATGTCATAGAGCAGGGGTTCTCAAAGTGGGGTCCGCGGACCCCTGGTGGTCCGTGAACTATAGCCAGGGGGTCCGCGAAATAATTTATAACAGCCTACCGTTTTTCCCGACTATAAGTCATGTTTTCTTTAGCATCTGAAAACTTGCTATTTATTCCAAAGTGACTTATATAATGCATTTAATGTTAATGTCAAATAATAAAAAAGTAGGCTCTTAAAGGTTTCTATAGATAGATAATTATCTATATTTCTTATGTCTGTGCGTCAAGTATTCGCTGTGTTTTGGTCGATTTTTGGGCACGTGCGCCAGAAAGGAGACAGAGACGGCAGAACGCGCATCCTGTTGTGTTCTTTATTTTTAAAAGGCATGACATTTTGTAGTCATTTTTAATGTATACACAAATAAAAAATAGACACTTTGCCGTTTTGAATGATGTACTCTTATCTGTATGACCATAAATAAGAGTATTCCTTTGTTTCCACTGCTGAGGAAAAATCCAAGTGTTCGCGCCGGCGTCTCGTGTGCGCGCACAATATGTCAGTTCTAGCACTGCTAATTTGACATCAAAACCTGTTCATTATCAAAATAAAATACTCACCGAACTTATAAAAAGTTCTGCTTAATTTAATTTGTCTGTTGTACACTATGAAGGCAGTGACGGTCAATCATATACTGTCGACTTGCTTTTGTTCCAATCTCATTTCTCCAAATGTGAAGATGCTGATACGTGTAGGCCTATATTGGGACTGAAGCATGAAGCTTTCTTTACATAAATAGTTAAGCATCCAAATGTTAGGCTACATCGCAAATATGGAAACTTTGGACCGAATGAGAGATGCACGAGCCCAACGTCTGAGGTTTCAGTTTCGATTCAACTTAATTCGTTTAGACTTGATGTTTTAAATAAATGTTGTCTGTATACTATTATTATTATTATTTGTATTATTATCTATTAATAGTACCGTATTATTTTTCATTCTCGTTTTGTTCTGAATACCATTTGATACCATTAATTTAAGGATTTGCTGTGGAGTGAGGGGAAGTAGGCCTACTACGCCTCAAGAACGCAACAAAGTATTACACACTCAGGTGCAACTTATTTTCTGGAAAATACAGTAAATTATAAATTTGTGCATAGGGACAGGGTCGTATACCCACAATTGAGGTCCCTGAGGTCCGGGCCTCTGTAATTTTTCTATGTGTATAATGAAAGTTGTGAAATAATTGCCTAACATTAACTCTAATTTGGTGCTGCAAGGATATTAAACATCGCGATGATAACTGACCTTCTCATCTGAGCGGTTTCAGCAGACTAACAGCGCTCATCAATGTCAAAATGTTTGAGTCGGAGATTAAATCAAAGTAGGCGGGTTTATGTTCACAGAAGCTGCAAGCCGAGCGCGAATTTCCGCATGACGCTTCAGTTATTCGGTCATAAAGTGCGAGATAAGATGTAAATCGCTAAACTAAACAGCTGTTTTAGATAGAAGTTTTAAACGAACGACAGAAACAATCAGTTTGCAAAGTATCAACCGGGAAAGGAAATATAGGGGATAGCGGGGCACAACGTAAATCCCAGTTGTGCAAGTGGGTCATGTTGTCACACTGCGTTACAATGAATATGTTTTGAACTATGTTGTATAGCTGTGTGTTCGTTGTCAAACTCAAAAATTAGTTTATTTTTAATTATGTTAAATAATTATTTTTAATGCCCCCGAACCCCCCTAGCAAGATCACTTTTGGGACCTCAGTATGCTATTTAGAAAACCCTGCATATGACCCTGGGTGGAGACTATTTGTGTCAAAATATTTCATTAACCGCTCCCACATTAACTTTAGGCTCAGTCACTGTTATAAATATGAAGGGGTCCTTGGAAATGTTTTTCCCCTGTAAGGGGTCCCTGGCTCCAAAATGTTTGAGAACCCCTGTCATAGAGGCTTGAATGACTTTGGTAAAGTGACTTGATTGTGAATCAGATTTGAACTTTAGAGGATCATTACGGGCTCAACATGAGTTCTGGATCAGTACACGGCATGCTCGAAGACTTTGCATGTTTAATATCTGATTCTGAATTATGTTCCGAGCGCTGACACCGAAAGCAACATGCATGAAAAATGAAATTTCCATGAGTGTGACTATTAGCCTGAAGTAGTGCAAGAGCTCGTCATGTGAAACGCAACAGACTGTTATTTCATCCTGTTGATAAAGGCCAGAGATTGAGGAAGAATGAATAGCATATTGTGTTTGACGGATTGACTGATTCAAACAAGTATTCAGAATATGTGTTGCTTTTATGCAACAGGATACACACTAACCTATATAAACATTTTACGGAAATTATTCACCAATAAACACTTTACAGGACATTAACTTTAAACATTAATGCATTAATACGGAATTGTATCCAATCAGAAATCAGAAAATTAACTATCTCTTTTAAAATAGAATTAATTTGTCAATTTATACATTTATAATTGATAAATAATGGAACTAGAAGATAAGCAATACATTCTTTACCATACAGAGAGAGAACGGCAGACATTATTTTCAGGACGATACCACGTTTCATTCATAAAAAAATGTATACATTTTTTTTAACTATTTGCATGTATTGTGGCATTATTCTCATTTATGCAATGCAAAATAATCACGTTCTCATTACTGTAATACAAATAAATAAAATATATTATATAACTTGTAACCCTATATTACAGTAATGAAAATCTAAAAAAAGAAGAAGAGTGCAACA